GGGCCCCCTTGTGCCGGGGGGGGGGGCTTGTTCTTTAGGCTTTTTGTGTACTTTCATGCGTTCATACTGGCGAGATACCAGAGATGTCCGATACTCCATCATGAACATAGACTCGCGTTAATTTTCTGTGCCCTCTCGCCATCTTTCATTAGTTCTGTTCGTTCGTTTCCTTGTATTGTACGAGTAAAGTGTATCCGCTGTCCACTGGCTGCCTTTTGATGTCAGTAGAGCAGCAAGAACTGAGCCACTCCTGCCAAGTTTGGAGAGGGAGCTGTGTTGAGATATATCTGGTCTGCTTCTCATTCTGTATGTTAGCCCGCTCCGAGCAGTCAGCCTGTAATATACATGTTGAGGCTCCGTGTGCAGATCTGAGGATAATATCTCAGAATGGATAGCAAGAAATGTCTCTTACTGCAGTTAATTTGCTGTGTTGCATGAGGTGAGATCAGCTTTGCCTGACGAAGCCTAAAGTGCGACCGCAGATGCGCACAAACAGCAAATCATGTTTGCGTCTGTTTTAGAGACATTGCATCATCAATATTATACCTGATTGTATTTTAATTTTTAATTTTTTTTTCATTCCCCATTCGCATATTTTCTGTTCCATTTACATTTATATTTTGAAAGGAAATGACCCGAGGTTAAAGCACAACAATTAATAAAGTTATACAAGTACTATGCTTGACCTTATTTATTTAATTTGAATTTTTATTTTTTTATTTTTTTTGTAATTTAAATTCAATTTTCCACATAATAAAAGTATCACTGACATAAGAAACGTTATTTTTTTATTTAATAACTAACACAGGAACTTTGCTTTACTTCCCAGGCCCAGAAAGGATAGACAGGCTTTTTGCATTTTCTGCACTGATTTGGGAGGAAAATCTCGTGTTAAACAGAGCTGAGATTACTACAAACTTTGTTGGTAGCTGAAATCGTCATCATCAAATGAGCTAAGTTGTTAAATAAAACTGGTTTGAGTGATGAGTGTTTGAAAACTCTGCACACATTCTTGTCCGTCACCCTATTACTGAATATACCTCTAATAACAAGTAACTTTTGGGGAATGTTTCAGGCTTTACACTCAATGTATCCAATCTTTACACAAGCGATACGTGCATTTTAGCCCCTCACTTTTTGTTGTTGGCAATTGTAGAAAGTCGACACGTCGCTTCCAGGAACAGATCCTTTGAGCTGAGCTCTTCACACAGTCCTGCCTCTGACCACAGGTTAGGCTGGTGTGAACTCATTTTCCACTCTAGAAATGCAGAGCATGAATTTCACATCAACCTGAATGAGCTTATTTTATCCCAGCAACACGAGCAGTCAGAATCTTCGCTCGAATCCATGCAATCCCAGTTTTTGTCATTTCATTTACAGTCATTTGAAATGTCAGATTTTGTGTATAATAAAGGTTCGTTTTTTTCCCTTTCAATTGCTTGATTACAGTTGCCAAGTCATGCTTTACCGTGTGCCCTTTTGAACTTCTTGAATTTGGTTGATTTGAATCTACAGAAGGACACAAGGAACGCATCCCCCCACATGAAACCAAAGGATACAGAACTTGTATATAAACAGACACTGATGCCTCTTATGATTGCTAGAAGATAAAATGTACAAATTAAGTATTTTTTCCCCCTCAACCTCCCAAACTTTGACGTCTTCATATGCACCATTCAAGAACTTGACCTGATTTCAGTTGACATGCTGACTCGTCACCGGAAGAAGCTTTTGGAAAAATCACCACTGTTCCTGACTGTTGGTTTTAATGTGTTAAAGCCCATTTGGTCGCATCTGATGCACTCATCATGTCTTGTTTGTTTCTTTTGTCTCTTTCAAGTTGGAGATCTGGATTTCATGTATTAGTTTGACTCTGAGGCGGTTTCTTTCTCTTCCTTCAGTATGTCGGTCAGGGAAAGTCCTGGTGTATAGTTCAGATGCTGTCTGTCTTTTCGGTTTGTGCTTCCTAACCCTTGTGTCTGCTGAGGTCTTGATGCATTGGGAAATTGAGCTAAATACAAACTATATGCTGTGTCTCATCCTTGGTCTTCAGCCTTCTACTTTTGTCAACTGTTCAAATAAAAAATAAATTGTGGCAAAGCTTTATTTCTATAGCGGATTCAAGTCCGAAGCCTTTCAAATGAGGCTTTTCAATGTAGTCTTTTCCATCGCATGTTGCCCCCTCTCGTGAGTAATGTGCAGCGTAACCACGAGCAAACATGAAATAAAAAGAAACCGATCCTTGCAATTCCTCCTTCGCATGTATTGTAAACTAACCCAAGTAGGTTGAATTTCAAAATTGCTTTTCTTTGTGTGTTGTTCCACATTTCTGCCATAGTTCTTATGTTCTAAGTCTGGCCGTTCTGCATGCACTTGTGGCTCAGTTGGCTGCCTGTTTGTCCAGTGTGCAGTTTCTGGGTTAAGTGGCCTCATTGTTTGTCTTGTAAAGGCTGTCTCATCACTTGTAGGAAAAGAGCTTCTCCACACAGGTTTGGTTGTTGCTTTTAAACATGCAATCAAATGTGGTATTTTCTTTGTTAATATAATACAGTTTAAGATTCGTTACAGGGGCTGCAATCTAGGGTTGGATTGGATGATCATAGCCAGAATGTATTTGGAAAGTGCCCATACTTGGTGCATAACCTGGCGCTGATCTTTTGTTGGTGGAGGTTACATCTGTGTATTTAAAGTAAAAAAAAAAAAAAAATCAAAAAAGAAAAACACCAACACTATGAAGTTCACTGCATTAGATAATGTTGCAAACCAAGTGGTAATTTTTTATAAATGGCTCATACACTTTATTTTTATTTTAATATGCACACTCCAAAATGTTTGGAGTTTTGATATTTTTGTTTGTTTTTTGAGAGAATTATGCTATACAATCAAAACCATAATTTTGTGAAATATTATTCCTATTTAAAATACGTTTTCTATTTGAATTTTTTGTTTACGGTGTAATTAGTTCCAGCGATGCAAAGCTGAATTTTCAGCATTGTTACTCCCGTTTTCAGTGTCACATGATCCTTCAGAAATCATTCTAAGATGATTTGCTGCTCGCAGGTTATTGATATTGATATATTTAATATTTTTGTGGGAACCATGATGAAACGGATGAATAGAGAAGTTTAAAAGAACATGTATTTGAAATAGAAATCTATTGTAATGTTTTAAGTTTTCTTTGTCACTTTTTATCAGTTTAATGTGTCATTGCTTAATAAAAGTGTTAATTTAAACGAGAAAATACAAAACACACGCATATATGAAGAGTTCAGATGCAAAATCCTTGAAGTGCCGTCTGAAATTTTCTTCTAAAATGAGCGGTTTTATCAGGCTCCTATATTTATGTTCAGTTATTTCACATTAATTGCATAGAAAAGGACTTATACATTGCCATTAGAGTAAAATTACTGAACCTAAGCACAGGAGCCTGATAAAAATGCTAATTTTAGATGAAAATTTCAGATGGCACTTAAGAGGCTTTTGCATCTGAACACTTCACACACACACACACACACATATATATATATATATATATAGAAATGGCCATTAAAACATTAAGATTTGGATGGTTACAAATAAAATTAGCTCAAATCTAACACATGAACTAAACTATATAAATATAAATGGCCAATAATGGTGTCACTGGTGTAAATTGTGATTCTCTACATGCTGTGCATTTAGATTTGGGTGGTTAAAGAATTCAGCTCAAATCTAACATGAACAAAAAGCCACAAAACCTTGTCTTTGATTTCGTTGGGGTCCTTAAAAAACATTGCTTTGTAACTTGAATCCCCACCATCGCAGTTATACGTTGGCCTCTGATTGTCTTATAATGATGTAGTATTACTTCATGATTGTCTTGGCTGCTTGAACAGATCTTAAAAATTCCTTTTAGAAAAGAGGAAAGATCTTTTACAAGTTCTTACAACAATAAATTGTCTTGGTGCTGCTGACATCCCATAATTAGCATTTGACATGGAGCAGTTCCCTCTTTCCCCGTCCAGGGTTGGCAAAGACCAGCTCACTCAAACAAAGTGCAGGCATTGAGTCTGGAGTGCGCAGGAATCTTAAACATGCGCCTCATCCCAAGGAGAACAGCATATTCAAAACAGACAAATTGTTTCTAATGCCCATGTTACAGTGTGGATCCTGGCACAGTGATGGGCGTTAGGACTTCGGGTTGAAATGAACATTGTGTTTAATGTACCGTTTCACTGAAAACACCAAATTCTAACTGGTTTCTTCTTCCTTCATTGTCAAGTATTGCTGAGCTGTTAGAAATGCCAAGGGAATAATGGCTCTTTTTCTTCTAGGTGTTCATATGTGGAATATAATTCGAAGGAATGAAATCCATGTAACTCATGTCATTCCAAGCAATGTTGTTTTAGTATCATTAGGGGCTTTCGCTCTGGGTGGTGATAGGAACTGAACTACATTTCAATCTAGGGCTGTTTTCTTAGTTGCATTCGCACGGCTGGTAGGAATACTGAAGTGACGTAAGCCGGCCAACAGCGACGTGATTTAAGCGCAACATTCAACTAGGTCAACAATTGGAGGATGGAGGACGGGGAAATCACCATCTATGGCTGTTTCCATGTTTGTGTTTACACATCTTTTTAAAAATGGCGGGTGCAGGTGTTACGTATGGCATGTGGTCAGCCGATCAACATACGTTTGTATCACTGGTACTTCCTGTTGTGCGGGGTTAGACACTACTCTGAATTTAGTCCCAAAAGGCGTTGCTATAAAATCAAGTTCCTAAGGTGTGAATGTGCCAAAAAGTGGGTACTTCCTCCAATAGTTACAGGAACTGTGAAAATGTTCCTCCAACACGAAAGCCCCTATTGAGATACTATTAGTTTTTATTAATTATTAATAAATAAAAGTATTTTTATTAGTGCTGTCAAATGATTAATCGCATCCAAAATAGAAGTTTTTGTTTGCATAATATATGTGTGTGTGCTGTGTATATTTATGTATATATAAATACAAACACATGCATGTATATATTTAAGAAAAATATGTTGTATATATATATATTAAATATATATATAATATAAAATATAAGAATATTAATGTATATGTAAATATTTTCAAAATATATACTGTGTGTGTGTATTTATATATACATAGTACAGATACATATATTATGTAAACAAAAACTTTTATTTTGGATTCTTTTGGTTTAATTGTATGACAGCATTAATTTTTATATATATTTAAAGTAGTTTTTATATTTTATATTTTCCAGTTTTAGGAATTTTGTTGTTATTGTCATTTTTCTTATGGTTAATTAAGTTTTAGGTTCTTTAGGAGTATTAATTAATGATAATAATAACCCTGGTCCCAAGACTTTGGTTCATCACAAATGAAAATATTTTTTATGAAACTGAGAGATTTCTATCTAGAGCCAGGCTTCTTGAATTGGGTGTTCTTTTTCCATGCAGTTTTCAGTATTTATAAACGACAGCATTTCTTAATATTTTGATTTGCCGTTTAGTTTTGTGTTTTTAATTTGAGCAATTCTGTTTTGTTTTTTTTTTCTTTTTAGCTCCCATTTATTTCTATTCCAGTTTTAGTAATTTAGTACTTGCACTTAATTGCCAAGGCAACATTTCTAATCATCTAAGTTATTTTTTTTATTGAAGAATTTTCATTTCAGATTGAATTCAATTAATGTAAACCATTTTTATAGTTCAAGTTAACAATAACAGCAGTTCAAAATACATATTTTTCTGAGCCGACCATGTGAATGTCAAAAGGCAGCAGGTAGGTTAACAAAAAAAAAAGTCGGTTTAATGTTTTCAAAGGAATAGTCGACCCAGAAATATAAATTCTGGCATCATTTACCCTCATGTCATTCCAAACCTGTATGCATTTTTTTCTTCTTCTGCTAAGCACAAACAAAGATATTTTGAATAATGGTGATGATAACCAAACAGTTTTGGTTCCCATTCACTTCTATTGTATTCCAATGGAAGTCATTGGGAACTGAAACTGTTTAGTTACCAACATTTTTGGTTGGACTCTCTCTTTAAGAGCCCTCAAAAAAGTATCAGGCAGTGATGAAACATCTGCTTATATAGAATAAAATATCTGCTACTTATTTATTGCTTATAAGTTATTTTAAAAGAATACATGAATGCAGTGTTTACAAGTTATTTCAAAATAATGCATGGCTAATTTTGAATGCACATCAATGGAGAAAGATGAGTTTTGTCCTCAAAATGGCATAGTTGCGGCATCTACCAGCAGGGTCTGACTGGACCGTACCGTTATACCATTGCCCAATACTAACCGGATTTAATAACTAATGTGGTCATGGGACAGTCCTTGCTTTCAGCCTCCATTGCTCCTTTTTTAGCTGCTTTTCTATCTTGTGAAATGCATCTGTTGTAGTCTTTCTGTTGTAATCTGTTGTAGATTTTCTCCCTATCTCTACTACTTACTGAGAGGGTCTCCAAACTTTACTGTTGAATCACTGAGGTAAGCAAATAAACATTGTAGGGCAATGCAGCTCTCACCAAATAAACAACTGAGCATGAGGCTGAGGTAAGTTTGACCCCATACACCTCTGGCCAGCAACTGGACTTAAACTTCACTCGGTCAGGGTCACGGCTGGTGATCTGTGCAGGAAGAAACACTGGCAATTACATTCAGACTATCACTGATTACATGAGACTCACTGAGGATGTTTGTGTAATGCAGTTTTCTGTTCAATGTTTGTGTGCAGATATGGATTACCAGGGACTGTTGGTCTCCAGAATTGAATCAACATGGGATGTTCTCAGAGGATTTGAAGTCACCATGACCTGTCATGAACTGAAGTCTTGTGTGGAAATCAAGGTTAGCACCTGCTAGTGGATACATGAGGAATACATACTCTTGAGTGGAAATCTGTGTAGTGCACACTGCTCGCTGTATGTGCTAATTATGAAATATGGCTTGTGAAAAAAGTGTGCTTAATTGTTTTGAATGTGCACTCCAAATCGTAAAAGTATATTTAAAAAAACAACAACTGTATTTGTAGATAATATTCATTAAATAAAAAGCCACATATGTAGTGTTCACTTTTACGTTTCTTAACACGCTTAAGTACACTTTTAAAAAGTGCCCTTTGTAATATGTCAGCACTTTAAATTATTGTATTAGCAATCTTTTATCACGTTTTAAAGTACACTCATTTTGATGTGTTGACTAACATACTAAAGCACATGCAACATACGTGATTGCAATTTTAACTATTAGATCACATTTAATATATTTTAAATGCACTAAATTGCAACTTCATTATTACAAATGTTATTTAAATGCATGAAAAAAGTTTTAATAGAAATGACATTTAACTTTTTTTATTTTACCATGAATGCTTGTCAGTACAATCAGCTGGACTTTAACCATATTTCTAAGACAATAGAAGTAATTATGAAATGTAATGTAATTAAATGTCAGAAAACGGTACATTCAGTTCACACTAAAGTATATTTTTTAAAGTATACTATTTCCATTATAAGTGCTCTTTTTAAAATATGCTGAAGTCCTATTTCCACAAGGCACGTTTTAACAACATTAAACATAATATACTTTAAATTTTTTGCATAGTATTATCTAAGAAGATAATGTGATTATTTTTAATCTTTTAATTCTTGTGCCGTGCATTATGGGATACAGTAACCAGCACAGCTGTGTATAGTTTTCTGGCAAATGCATGTATTCTATGTATACAGAAAACTGGCGTACTAAGTACAATATATTGTATACACATCATATTCTACTGCACAACTACTAATATGGTAGTATGCTTTACTAAACGAAGCCACAGTCCCAATACAAACTAACACTCAACCACGTTCGCCAAGGGAGTTGTTGAAATTCTGCCTGAATATATAAATTGCTGAATCATGCGTCAGCGTAATTGAAACCAATCATACACAGTTATTGTTTTTATGCTCCTGAAAGCCAATTTATATGTACAATTGTGATGTTGCCATGTGCCATGAATCACAGCTTGATGCAAAGGAGCCAGTACAAACACAATGAAAAGAAAGCACCAAGGACACCCCTTTACAAAGCGTTCGGGTTTGAGTGCCCAAAGAGCAGCCGCTGTGTTTGAACGGTTGACTTTTACTGAACATTTCTCTGGTTACGCAAAAATTAGTGCGCTGGTCCCCGTGTTTCCCCCCTCAGTAAGAAACATTGTTTAATAGGTTAATCTGCTGAGCCTCAAACTCTGCTATATAAACCTGAGATTATGGCTTCCCCTCTCACCGCTGAGCTCTGGGATTGTTGTGCTTGGACTTCAGTGTCACAGCTCAGTTTTCTCATAGAAGAGAAAGTGATTCAAATACACAACACAGGGAATGAGTCTGGTTTGGAAGAAGGTAACATGCGGCTGCTAGGTCAGCATTACTCTACCGGTCACTTCAGCACTGCTGCACAGAGGCAGATTTTATATGAACAAGACACTAATGGACCAAAATGCAGTTAGTGACTGCGCTGTGTATTATATGGAGTATTTTTCCATGTCGATAGCATGCCTTCATTTCAATAACCCAATTCATCAACACATTTTTTATGTATGTATATATAGCAACTACACAAAAACATCGTAAAAGGGTCATATGATGCGATTTCAATTTTTCCTTTCTCTTTGGAGTGTTACAAGCTCTTGGTGCATAAAGAAGATCTGTAAAGTTGCAAAGACTACACATTTCATTACACCAAATACACAAAATAATGTTATTTTTAGCAGCATCATATGACCCCTTTAACCCTAAAAGCCTGACATATGAGAAAAAAGACTTTATTTTTTATTTTTTATTTGCAAAAAAAAATGCAATGATGCAATTTGCAAAAAAAAATGCAATGATGCAATTTGCAAAAAAAAATGGGGGAATATGCAATTTGGTGCAGATGCTGAT